CGATGACCTAATCCTTGGCCCCACTTTAGGGCCTCAAAAAATTTTAATTGGGAATGCGGAAACTCTAATATTTATAGAGGGTGCCTCCAAAAATGTGATATCACGGGCTTCCCCTTGCCCATGACGATTTGATCGCATTGTTGACCAATTCTTTGATCTATGTAGGCATACTCCCACCTCCTTTCATCATACATGGTGGGAGACCAACTCCAAAGCTGATTTCCTTGCCAAAGAAGGTGTTAGCTCAAAGGGTGATGGAACCATTTTGGCAACTTTTTAATCTCAGTTGCATTTCTATTCTTGGTTGAAGTTTTAGTATTTTTCAGGGGTCAATACGTCCGCACTTCTGAAATACCTGGTGCCTTTTAGTTAACCTTATTTTGCAATGTACAGAGCACCGAATTTGTGGCTTGCCATTTTTAGCTAGTGTATTTACTACTTTTTAAAAAAAATTAGTAACTTTTACTCACAACAAGAGTACCCTTTGTCTTCTAGTAGTAATTGTGCAAGCACCATTACATGATGACCAAGCTACACTTTACAAAAGAAAAAAATTAAAATAAAAAAAATAAAAAAATCAAATATTGGTAAATCCATCCTTCGCAACCCATTCTAATATTAACTTTGTATTTTAAAGGATTGTAAAGGTTAGATTATCCCATACTTGATTTCCTAGTAAGTAGCCAATAATAATCATCATCATCACTCGAGCCCTATCCCAATTATTTGGGGCCAACTATACAAATATCGTTCAGCCATTTTGCTCTATCCTGGGCCAATACACTCAATCAAACCATAAGTCAGCATATTTCTTCTTATTACTTCCATCCATGTCCTTTAGGGCGTTCCCCTTTCCCATTTAAAGCCTTCCAATTGAACCAAATAGTCCCTCCTAACCGGTGCCGTATTAGGTCTACGTTCTACATGGCCAGCTCACCTAAGTCTACTTTCCCTAATCTTATCACCTATTGGAGCCACCCCTAAATTCTCTTGGATGTATTCATTTTGAATTGTATCCTTTCTTGTCTTGCCACCAATCTATCTCAACATCCACATCTCAGTTACATTCATCCCATGGATATATTGTTTCTTGACCACCCAACATTTTGTCTCATACAGTATCGTTGGTCATTCAACCGTCTTATAAACTTCCCTTTCGATTTCATTGATATACAGCAATCATATAAAAACTCCAGAATCTAGATGCATATCTCCACTTCGCCCACCCAAGTCGAATTCTATGTGTGAAATCTTCCACAATCTCTCCATTCTCCTGAATTATAGAACCAAGATATTGAAAAATCTTTTAGATATTTCTTAAATGCTTTCTCATTTCTACTCCTATTATTACTGAACTTGCATCCTATATACTTTGTCTTTGTCCGGCTAATTTTAAAACCATGAGATTCTTGAGCATCCCTAAAAAGTTCTAACTTTGAGTTGACGCCGCCTCTACTCTCATCAATTATAACTATGTCATTGGCAAATAACATATATACTACAATACATCATCATGTAGGTGCCTAATAAGTAGCCAACAATACTAATATTTAATAGCAGTAGTACCTGATCATCAAGGAAGTCAGTACACTCATCACTATCATGCCATTAGACATTATTAACCCATTGACCCCAACACTAAGTAATGACGTGGACTGCAATATGTTCCTATAGGGAATAGTTAATTATCAAAGACATTTTTAAACCCGAAGGATGGAAATCTTATTGAGCTCAAAGAAAACAGAAATAGCCAAAAGAAATCAAATAATGTAGCAAACACTACATTGAAGAAACCAGGGCAACATAGGGGATCAGACTTCTTGTGCAAGCCGAGGAAATTTGTGAAGTAACTGTATATCCTTAGCTAAAATCATCTACTTGTGTATGCATGCATCTCAACACTTCGATTTTTGGGTTGTTCAGTTGTAGGAATCAAACTTGTGACATAGAGTTTCAAACATCAACACCTAATCAATCAAGCTCAACCCACATAAAACATGAGATTTTCATTCTTTTTTTCTTCTCTTTTTTGTGTGTGTGTGTGAAGGGGGGAGGAGTTGGGGTGTCAGTAAGTGGAGGTTACACTGCCTTAACCACTGAGCTAAGAGCCTCATTCCCTGGGGCAGTTTAGAAGTGGGGGCCGAACATGGGATGCAGTCTTGCAGTAGTCAATAACCTAAGTAATGAAACCCAGGCCAGTTCTTAACCATACATATCGATGGCTGACTACACATTAGTTTAAACTACCCAATAGCGATAAAGAATCACAATAAGGCAACTATAGAATCAAATGATTCAAAGGTGACAACATATTTTGAGAGTCAAACACCTAGAATAGCCCTCTCAATGGAGAGTCTTCAACAAAGCAAACATTACCCTGGATCAGGCTTGGCACTGATAATTTCTTCAGGAATATGCTCATCATCCTAATCTGGAATGGCCACACATTACAATCTTCCAACGTTCTATTGTAAAACGAGTATGAGGTTCCAAGTTCTTAAAACAACACAATCACATATCAAACGAAAGTTCTACACAGAACTAGGAACCTCTTCAGCAGAAATACCTCAAGGAACCACAATAAATTTGGACTCATCACATACCTCATCAATACATAGAAAAGATGCTTTCAAAAACTACAATAAACAAAAGGGAAAGTTATCAAATATCCATGAGAAATGCATTATTTAACATTTTACACATTTGCAACTATTCCGCCCCATGATTGTGTGTGTTTTAGTGGTTATTTTGAAATTAAATCAAACAATATGAGTAAATTAAATACTTCATATCTTATGTTATGATGATAAATTTTCCTAAACAACAAGACACCCACCTATCAACTATTGCAGAAGAAAAAGAAAATAAAATATTAATATCTTCTAGCTGATTAGTTTCACATTTTGAGTTCTTCAGAATCAAGTGGAGTAATGCAAACATGTGGTAAATAACGTGCCACACCAAACAACTCTTCTACGGGAAGGGTAATCATCTTTTCACAGTTTCACCCTTATCCATAGAAAATGGTGTTCTCAAAATAAGAAGGGCCAATATGCAGTAGCTATCGCCATGCACCCAAAGCCCCATCGAGTAGACCCCACATATAAAGTCACGTTATTCACAAATTGTGGGTCATCCTAACAGGCCATAAATATATCCATTGCCAAATCCCAATAGCACTCTAAAGACATTGCAATCATGTTATTCATGCCTAATTTATTGTCATCAACACGACCACCATCCTTATACTTGAATACAATGGTATCAAGCTGATTCCAAGGGTAGTTCCAATTATCAACATTAGGCGCACCCAATACACAATAGGAATTCACTCCATGCCAAGAGATCAGAGTAGTGGAGGTCTTAGGCCTGGCATTAAGTGCAATTCCTCAAGCTGTGATTTAGTAAATAGAAGCCATCCCGCACATTATGTCCCAGATATTTCAATCGCCTTAATCTTCATACTCAACTTAGTAATCCAGTAAAGTAAGAACAATACAATGACACAATTACTTAAAATCCAAATATAAAGCCAACAAAAACAATGTAATAAGGACCAAATGGAAGCATATGATGAATGACACTGACAGAATAGTCGGATAAGTTGTAAACATTACAACTAGATAAGAGATCAAGAAACAACAATGAAAAGGCAGAACCTACTATAAGGTGGTGGGTAAGTTATATAATTACACCAAGGAGAGAACTAATTTACCCATTGTAGTGTTTTCCCCAGCAGAAAATACAAAAACTAAAATATAAAGATGCTAAAATAGGATATTTGACGAATAAATGCAAGATGTGATTCACAGGGTAGGATCTGTAGCTCATTCATACTCAATTCCACACACAGACTCCATCCGGAAGAAGTGCCGCATTAGTAACAAAAGTCAAATATCATGTACATTTTAAGATCATATCACCAAAACACCTTAGACCAAATAATAAGATGACCATTCACTTTTTATATGTATCATCAACTTAATTAAGCCAGAAATCACATTAAAGTAACATTAAGCATTAAAGCACGGGCAGTTCCACAGGACACAATCCAGGGAAAGAACAGATGTAAGGCACACAGATTTAAATAACTTAGTGTTAAAATCAAGGTAGTATTACTCCATAGCAGAAGAGAAAAAAGCTCATGGGCTATGATCAAATCATTTTCTAATAGAAGTTAGACAGGGTTCAGAAATGAAGCCTATCGCAAAGATCAAGTTTGGAGATGGAAGCTTATTTAAAGTGGAGAAGGTTTTCAGATAAAGTGGAGAAGTGCCATAGTCCACCATAGAAGTAAACTAAAAAAAACAAACATCGCCAAAGAAATGAACCAGGGTTTCATGCTAATGGATAGAAATGCCAAAAAAAAAATTGAATTACCCATAAATGCTCATTATGCAAGCCTGTGAACTGCATTTGGGTGTGCGTCGGATATCCAGTTTCCATCTCTGACATCATCAATACATATAGAATACAAAATTCACATCTGAAAATCTATTAGTCCTCACCCTAGCAACATGAAACATTCAGTCTGCAACATAAGAACGAACAAGGAAGGAAAATCTCATCTGCATTTTATTATGCAAAGATACCTCTACGAGCATCGACTTTAGGGGCCTCAATTATACCCTCCTCTTTGCAAGTTGAAGTCATTAGATAAGCCTTCACAAGGCAGACGAGAACATCTGCAACTGAGCAGATGAAAAGAAAGATTGTGCTTTCCTTTGGGCAATTTTGAGAGACCTCAAGCTCAAGGCACAGTGGAACATGGCTGCAGCTAATGAATACTTATAGTCCTTTACAGTCTTCACCTCAAGCACAGGAATATTACAACCAATCATCACTGAGGACGATAAGCAGAATGTGCATAAAACGACATAATGCATGGAGCACCTACCTTAACAGCTTCAGATTCAACAAAACATAAAAGTCTATATCTACTAAAGACTACAAACACCAATCCATTACATATTGAATCAAATTTATTAGTCTATCTCTACTAAAGACTACAAAGCACCAATCTATTACACGTAGAATCAAATTAATTAGTATATCTCTACTGAAGAGTACACAGCACCAATCTGAAAATGATATTCTTTACAATGAATCAAAAATCAAGAAAACACTTGCGAACCACCAATCTGCCAGTTGAAAATGAAGAAGCAAAAATCAAAAATTAGCCCAGCGAACCACCAATCTGCCAGTTGAAAATGAAGAATCAGAAATCAAAAAATAGCCTATTGACATCTTGCGAACCACCAATCTGCCAGAACCGCTTGCCAGCCTGCATTTAAAAATAAATAAAAATAAACAAAATAGTAAACTCATTCAAGTTACCACTAAAAAAACTCAATAAAAAAGTTTTCTAGTCCAATACCTAATAATGAGCAGCTTAATATCCAATTGAATCCCAAAGAATGAAGACAGCAACCCAAAAGCTTCCTCCTCCTCTGTCATGCCTCGGCCCTGGGACCGGTAGCCGAGATAACTGATCCGCAATGGTAACCGAGCCATCCGGATGAATAAAGAGAAATGGCGGGTCAGATACCCAAGGTAAGGGAGCCGCAATGCCAAGTGAGCCATCCGGATGAAAAAAGGTCACTGGCGGGTCAGTGGATTGCTGTTGCTGCTCGAAAACATTCAGCCATGGCCGTGCTGTGATTTCCTCAGCTAAGGCTCGGAACAAGACGTCGACCCTCAACATACCTCTAGGACCCTCACCAGTCTGAATCAAACTGAGCAACAACCTCAGTTGATTCTCATGCATATCCTCACCGAAATCCGTATCGAAATCCATCTGGAATCAACATATGTAATCCATCAAATTTAACCATGTCAAAAATACAGGAAAGATTCAAAAGAAAGAATACTTCAAAAAAAAAAAAAAGATAGGAATAAAAAAAATACTGAAAAAAAGAAAAAGAATGAAAGATTACTTGTAAAAAAAGAAAGAAAAAAAAATTCATATCAGGGAATGAAAGATTACAGAAAAAAAGAAGGAAAAAAATTTCTTCCTCCTGCTACTGCAAAAAAAGAAAAAAACAGGAAAGATTTTCTTTGAAAGAATAGTGCAAAAAAGATAGGAAGAAAAACATAAATTAACCTCAAATGCTGCAAAAAGGAAGAAAGAAAGAATGAAAGATTACTGCAAAAAAAAGAAGAAAAAAAATCTCCTTGTAAAAACTAACAAAAAGAATAAATTACCAGCTGCCGTGGATTTGGATGCAAGATTATACAAAAAAAGAAGAAAAAAAAATCTTCTTGTTAAAACTAAAAAAAAAAAAAAAAAGGCAAAAAGAAAAAAGAAGAAGAATAAGGCAGAAAAAAGAAGAAAATTACAATAAAGGATTTCCTGTTGCTACTGGCCATTTAGTTGCTGAAATTTTAAACAAATAGCGGGTATTTATAGGCGCGGGAATACTCGAACTTCAGTAACAAAAGGGAAGGGACAAATGCGTAAAATTTCGCTTTTTTTTGAAAGCAAGCAAGCGCGGGAAAAAAAAATAAAAAAACTGCATTCCATTACTCCTTTGCTCCTTGCTTCGCTCTCGCTCTCGCTCTCTCTAAAGGAGGGCACAAGTCTGGCCCCTTTGCCATCTCTCTCTATTAGGGATTGAGAGATCCGTACGATGGAGATAGAGAGGGTGATTACAAGGCAGAGAGGTAAGGACGTGGCAAAGGTTTTTTAAAAGAGTATTTTCATTAGCTTAAGGATTGGGTTCATACTGTACATATGCGGGCCCCATCTAAACCTATCTTAAAAGCGGATTTTATACCATGAACTCTCATTTACTTTTACTTTTGATACAAGGTAGTTACAATTACATACAACCATCCAATGTGAAGTTTGATAGCTTGATGTGTCATAAAGTTCAAGTAAATTTTTTTTGAAATTTGACCTTGGTCAATGGAATAATAGCAGCCACTCAATTTCACATCTAATGGTCAAGATTAATGTCTCTATTTGTACCAAAGACAAATGATCTCACTCTATATTTTGCTATCTTAAAAATATGTTTTTTAATTAAATTTTTAGGGATTTATGATTTAGATTAGGGATAAGGTTTGCATAGAGCCGAGGCTCTAAACAATCAAATTAGAGCCCATCTTCAAATAGTATCAAGAAATGTGATTTTAATATGGGTGCAGTTTGCATGCGGATGCATCCGTAGTTGTAGAGGTATGGTGCACCTTCAAATTTTATCATGGTATATAATTTTGATGTAAAACGTTTTTAGGATTATCTTAAAATCTATTTTTATATCTAATTATAAAATTTCAAATTTCAAAAATAGTTAAAATCAAGTAGATCTATAAACATATGAAAATTTTGAAAATGGACGGTGTAGATAATATATTATAAAATGCACTATTTTTGATACTATTTCTGATACTTCAAATCTTCGATGTCGAGATGACCAATCAAAGGGTTTTCCAACACTAAAACGACCTTTTCCAATGAATTTTTTAGGGGCATCGATAGTTCTACATTATAAGGTAGCATCCTTTTATTTATATATATATATATATATATATAT